AGTTTATTGGCCATTAAAATTTAAGTACCGCAATTTGGAACGTTTCCAATAATATCATTCAATACGTGCCTTTTGATTTCATTTTAGTTCGATAAACGATGGAAATGGCTTTGATGATTTGATTTTTATTGATCGATCTACTTATTATTTGCGATTTTATGTAAAGCAGTTATTATATTATAGGGCTAAATTGGGTGCATCTCGTATATTTTCAAATTTAGTATAGAAGAACTGATTTTTTTTTTAAAATTATGGATATAAGTATTAGTCATAAATGTATTCTTTATGAAGTGATAGTAAATTAAAAAATTCAAATGAAGGTTTATTATGCGTGGAGTATTCTTTTAGATATAGATAGAAAGATGAACACTTAAATATATTTGTTATGTTCCGCATGATGATTTCTTTCTATATTATCCGTATTCAAGTGTTTAAAATATTTATGAAATGTTTAAAATATGAGAATTTCTTTTGCTTGAACTTTCCATGGTTATACTCCCTCTTTTAACATTTGTTTTTCGAATTTTTGGGTTTTATTTATAAATGTTTTTTACTTACGTTATAAAAATTTTATTATTATTAAAATATTCTTTTTTACAAAAAGTAAAAATATTTATGGAATTTCTATGACTATTCTCGTTCTATGACTATTCTTTTTTTCCTGATCAAGTCGTTGATAAAATAGTGGGTATTTAGTTAAATTCACCGATTATCGAAGCATTTTTTTAATAATAATATTAATAAATGCGAAATGATGCATTGTTTAAAGAAAAGAATAAAAAAAGATATGGTTATTAAATAAGTTTTTATTGGGCGGAAATTAATTCAATGAAACCTTGCCAACACATCCTTTTTGAAATTTCCTCTGAAAACGCCGTACCTTGAAAAAATAAGTTCCTCTATTAAGAACCATTACAAGTTTACAAAATGCACGAGTATATGGATTGTGCAACGAACTGTATTTTAGTTTCTATAGGTTAAAACTTTCTTTTTATAGACCTCATATTTGATATTAAATTGACTTTGGGAATCTTAAGATAAGAATTAAAAGAGATGACTTGCATTATTTGAAATAACACTAGTTTGAATGGATAATTTTAGTGACATTTAACGATGAACAAGGTATTTTTGAATATTTCTCTCTAGTTTCCGATAGATTCTACAGATCCTTTCTAAAAATGTAGACCAATTAAAAAAAAAAACATTGATTTGTGTATTGATTCTAAAAAAAGTAACTTTATGGATTTAAACTGCTTTGTGCTTGTATTTCTTATTAATTTGTATTTAAATTTCTGTAGTTTGATTTTAGGAACATATGTGTTTTCACGTATGCATGCTGATCATAGATTACGGATTTTGATACGACAACATTAGTTATTATTAGTTTTTTGAAAAATAAATGCTAATGTTCTTAAAATCAGCAGTAAATTATCCAAGACAACAATTTCAACTCATTTGCACATGCTGATAATTATGATCAAATTTTTTCTAGTTTACTTTTATCCTTAATTCGGGTAAAATATAAGCGATTCCTGTTTGATATGTAGCATTTGAATAGTTATTTTCTTTCAAAAATATTTCAAAATAAAATGATTAAAAAAATTTAATAAATACATGTTTTTTAGTATAATTGTTCCTTTCTCTTTCTCTCTCTCTCTTTTTCTTCTTGTGTGTGTGTTATCTTATATCTTAGCAATATGCGATTTTTGTTTGCTTTTTCTTGTAGTATGATCCTTGTTTTCTTTTCGCCTTGATCTATGCTAATTAAATGATTGAAACAGCTGAGTTCAGTTATGCAGAAACAGTTGTATAAATCAACCCTAGTTGTAAACTTGGAATAACGCCTGCTGTTTTTATTTAATTTTTATAAAAAATAATAAAAAAGGGCTTCATTTCATTTTGCCCAATAAAATTGAAAATCTTGCTATTTATGCCAAAATACAATTTTTCCAGTGATAAGTTTCAATCTTGCTCAGTGAGCCACAAAACAAATTATATATAAAAAAGTAAGTAAATAATAATAATTATATAACCCGAAACAAATGTTTTTCTAAACGTCCGATTTTTTACTTACTTGATGTCAATCTTAATGGTTTGAAAGGTTTACTAATCAATTAGTACTATATTATAATGAAGTCGGACATAAAAACGTATTTTCTCCAAATAAGCTTACCTATATTTCCAACAGAAGAATAACTGTAACCCGGAAGTTCCATAACTTTTTGCACATTTCGAAAATCTCGGGAACTTTTCGAGTGAATTGGAAACTTTTTGCTGGCAATTAATTATAACTTTAACTAACTCTAAACTCATTTATCCGAAGAATAACTTTTAATCATTATTTATCATTTTTTATTATTGTATTTCATTAAATTATGAACGAGTCCCGCAGTGGACTGATTGTTAAGACACGGTTCCCAGCAGATCACCGAAGTCAAGCATCACTGGCTGCGGTCAGTGTGCGGGTGGGTGACCACTTGGATCAGTCTGCATAGGGACCGAGGATGTGCGGTATTGGTCCTCGTTAAACTGTTCTACTGTAAAGTGCTCGACTTCGCGTGCAGGTCGTCGGGCTACCGCAGCGGGAGTGCCATCCCCTCTACAGAGGATCAAAATTGTGATGGCATCTCTTCTGATCATCCTCAGGGATGTTTGCCAGACCGTCGCCAATAGCCCATTGTGCAGCTCTAGTGCGATGTAAATGACTACAACAACAATGAACGAAAAAATTTAAACTTTGTCTTATAATTCAAAAATTTTCATTGAATTAAATAATAAAATAATAATAAATATTAAAAATTCTTTTTTTCCATATTAGGATTTACGAATTTTATAAATGGGTTTTAGAATTGCTTAATTAATTTTAGAGATATGAGCAAGAAAAGTGAAATTAAAATTAAGGCGTCCAAACTTTTGACCGCACTCCTGATTGACCTAATAGTCAAACCCTCCATGTTTTGATGGTCAAAATAAGTCTGACGAAAAAAATGGTATGTTTATTCAGCGAAAATATGTTTTTGTGTCGAATTCCCTACATAATTAGTGCTAATTAATTGGCATATATCTGAGCTGATGCTGATAATCCTGGCTTATGTTGATGGTTTGGTTATAATCGTACAGACAACAAAAGTATTGTTGGAACCAGTTACCGCTCTTAATAATTCTTCAAAAGAGAGACATCTTGTTGTTAACGAAGACAAGACGAAATACGTGCCAATTATTAAAACACCTGCAAATTACAAATTTTTAGAAGCTGGAAATTCTAAATTCGAACTTGATAACAATTTCACCTTTCTTGGTTCAATTATTAATGCCTTAAACCAGTGGTGCGTAAACTTTTTTCGACTACGACCCCTTTTGTAGAGAGAAAATTTTTGGCGACCCCTAGAGATAAATGTTCACAAATGCGATGTATATTTTGAGCATTTCTTTCGTTTCATCGAATAAAAACGTCATCATATTTGACTCATATTAATTTTATTTATAATTTTAAGAAAATACTTTTTGTATAACACAAAAATCAGTAATTGCCCTTTAATGAAATTTATGTGGCTGCAAGTTTCTAATTATCTCATCGATGTTTGGATGTATGTTGCTAATTGCAATTCGCATATCATCTTCAGGGTTTAAACGCGAGCGGTATTTAGTTTTTATTGAAACTAGTTTGCTAAATCCAGTTTCACATAAATACGTTGATGCAAATTGTATTAACACTCTGATGGCATTCTTGCATAAAATGGGCAATTGTTTTTCCACCGATAGCCAGATAGAGAATACATTACGCATTACGGTCAAAAAAAGAGTGGACAGCATGAAATTGCAATTAAACAGTGAGTGACGGCGCTTCACTCTTTATATGTACACTGTATAGTATGCAGCAAGTAGGGATAATGCATTTCATAAAAATTTGGCGACCCCCAAAGAACTTCTGGCGACCCCTAGTTTGCGCCCCACTGCCTTAAACGATATAAGCACAGAAACAAAAAAGAGACGCATTATAGCAACTAATCGATGCCTTTGTGACTTGAGAACATTTCTAAATTCAAAATTAATTAAAAGACGAACAAAAATAATACTATGTGAAACAATCATTAGACCTGTCTTAACTTATGGATCTGAAAAATCGTCTTTAACTGAATCACAAGCAGACCAGCCTGCTGTTTTTGAGAGAAAAGCCTTGGGCAAAAATGTTGGTGCTATAAATATGGATGCCTTATGGAGACGAGGACTTTATATAGGCTATTCACGGCAGCTGATTCCAACAAATACATCAAAATAAGTAGCTTAAAGTTTGCGGGTCACATCTGTCGAATGGACTCTTCTTCCCTGACATTTAAGATCTTCAATTACAAGCCAATGAGAATTAGAGTTAGTGTTAGGCCTAAGATCAAATGGCTTGATTGTGTGGAAAAGGATTTCAGAATCCTGAGAATTACTAAATGGAAAGCAATCGCAAAGAAAAGAGCAGGATGGAGGAAATGTTCTAAGGAAGGCTCTGACCTACAAAGGCCAATAGAAGAAGAGGCTAAACCTATAACCATTATAATTTTTTCTTTCGTCCACTGTACCAGTGAAATTCCTTTTGCTTCCAGAAACTTAAACGTTGCGCATAACTTGAAAAACTATGTGCCCTCAGGCAAAGAATTTCTAACTCGGAGAATTTCTAAGACTCACTGGAAAATCAACATAATATTTTAAAAATTATGGGCCTTTTTTAATTTTGCTTTATGTTTGTAATTTTTAATAGTTATTAAGGATCTTATTTGTGTTTAAACTTAAAAAGTGTCTTAATTCGATTTTGACTTGAATGATTTTTATAAATTTATTCTTTTAATTTTAATTAAGGTTAATATTTCCAGAAATATATTTTTCTAAAAATTCTTAATGAAACGTTTACAACGTGCTAAATTTTATCTGTTAGTTTAATTTTTTTAAAAAAAATTTCCTACTGCATAAATTTTGCAATCCAAACATCATTAGTAATTTTTTTTTCCTTGCAGAACCAGCAAAAATCTACAAATGTCACAATGCAAGCGCATCATGTCTCTAGGGACAAAAGAGGTCAAATTATGGGCCAACGAGCTGGATTCCGTGGGTGCACAATTTGGTTCACAGGTTAGTAGATTTTTTTAAATATTATTAAGTTAACTAATAACTAGTTAGGGGATAGAATGTTAGCCCTCCAATGAGGTGACCCAGGTTCGAATCCCAGCAGTGGCTAGTCTATACGAATTTTGCTCCTTTCTCTGTAATAGACAGATCATGGCTTAGAATTCCCTTGCCATCAGGCTAAACGTGGAAAGTTTTCATGGTTATTCTCTCATCGTGATTTCGTGGTTCCATCAAAATGCTAGTTTTTTCCAATTTTTGATCCTGGAGCTTCCTTGTCTTCTTGGTTGGATTCAAAATAATTGCGAGGCTGCAGAGTTAAACAAAATGGTTGTAAACTCAGAATAGGTTTAGCTGTTTAATGCCAGTTATTAAATAAAATGAAATAAAATTGTCACACTAATACTTAATTGAGATATAACAGATTAAAGTTTGAATGGTTGCTTGAAATAAAATTTGTATTTGCAGTTATCAAAATTATTTTGCAAACTTTTTTCAAGTGAAGAACAATTCTAATTGCAAATATTTGATTTTAATAAATACAAACAAGGCACTACCCTTTTTGACAATGTAAGACCAACACAAATTTTGTTTAATGGGTATCTACTTGATTGGGAAGTAAAGGGAACAAGTGACTAATGTTGACCACACTGTTTATAATGTTGAATGCTGGTTTCACGATTTTAAAGCCTTAATCTCATTTCCTGACAGCTGTGTACATAGAATTGATATATTTAACTTATATGCTTTAATAAACATATAAAAAAATTCTGAAGTCTTTTGATCTGTAGAGATTAAACCCAACTACTTATAAACAATCTCAAATCATCTAACCTAAAGACATTTTATTGCCAGTCACAATACTTGTTTTAAAATATAAATTTAACCACCTATGCATTGACCCAAATAATGACAGAATTTGACCCTGACTGTTTCCCACAGTTAAATTTTGAGATTGCATGAAAAATTACTCTTAACCTATTTTCTATAATATTTATTGGATTAAGGTTTAGTAATTTTGTAAGTTCGCCTCAAGCACGAATTTGTAAAAAATTTTTTTATTCCAATATGATAATATTCATTGGGCCAGGATAGCCTGGTCCGTAAGGTGCTGGGCCCATGTCTGAGAGTTCCTGGGTTCGAACCCTGCCGGCAGAACTCTCCCCGTGTAGTGAAGTGACTGATGCACGTTAAATCTGTCAAGTCACAAAAATCCTCCATGTTCCTATAACAAATCAATACCTCTGTGGATACTGGATTGGAGATCGTTCTCTGATTCAGGTCAAAATTACGATCTGTGGATGAATGAATGGATGTATGAATGGGTCTGCCGTATAAACGGCTGTGACGGATGGTGTGACAGAAGTCTAACTCTTGGCCATAGATGGCGCCACTGGAGAGAAAGAACAATCGCACCCCCTCTGCCTAAACAGGCATACGTCAACAACAACATAATATTCACTACTTAAATTTGTCTAGAAAATTTTAAAATGCAATACCTAACACTCTTCATATGTATTTGTTGTTTAGGTTTATCTGGTGCTGGCAAGACAACAATATCTTTTGGAGTGGAAGATTACTTGTGCTCATATGGCATTCCAGCCTATGCCTTGGATGGTGACAATGTCCGTCATGGTTTGAACAAGAATCTCGGTTTCAGTCCTGAAGACAGAGAAGAAAATATTCGAAGGGTTGCTGAAGTAGCAAAACTGTTTGCTGACAGTGGTGTGATTGCATTGTCTAGTTTTATCAGTCCCTTTGGAAAGGTAAATTTTCTACTGTGAATAGTTTGCTTGACTTTTGTTCTTTTATTATAAACTTCTATTTATTCATTCCGAAAAATAGAAACTATTTTCTACTTGTTAAGGTTGATTTTAATTAATGCAACTGATCACTTGAGCAAAGTAGGTTTTAACAGATTTCTCTAACTAACAAAAAAAAAATTCATCTTCTTAATGTAACAATTACAGAAAATTAATTTCCTTTACAGAATTACTGTACTGTTTGGAAAGAAAATTTGTTTTTCTTTTATAAGAATGAAAGATAATTTTATTTATTCTATTATTTTAATTTTATTTAAGAAAGATAATATTATTAAATTGTCAAGNTAAGGGTGTGGATGGAGGGTCTCTTTGGAAATTTGTCCTGAAGTTCCGTTGAACCTGTGTATCTGATTTCGTCTCTATGAACCATGAGACGCATTGAGCTTTCTGTTGTGGTGTCCACATCCTCACTTATAACTTTTCAGCCTCTTGAAAAAAAACTTTATTAGTTGCAGTAATACATGCAAAAGACAGAATATAAATACGAAGTTATGAATTTTTGAAGTTGTAAAGATAATTTTGGAACACCCTGTATTTTCTACTCGTTAAGGTTGATTTTAATTAATGCAACTGATCACTTGAACAAAGTAGGTTTTAACAGATTTCTCTAACTAACAAAAAAAAAATTCATTTTCTTAATGTAACAATTACAGAAAGTTAATTTCCTTTACAGAATTACTGTACTGTTTGGAAAGAAAATTTGTTTTTCTTTTATAAGAATGAAAGATAATTTTATTTATTCTATTATTTTAATTTTATTTAAGAAAGATAATATTATTAAATTGTCAAGGTTTCTCAAATAAGGTGGCTAGGACATGTATCTCGATGGTTAGATAGAGTAGAGAGGTGGTTAAAGGACTTCCGAGTTCATAGATGAAGAAATATAGTATGGAATAGATTTAGATGGGGTAAACTGACTGAGACGGCCTTGGCCAGTAACCGGCTGTAGTACCTAAGAAGAAGATTCTCTTATATTGTATAGATATTTTATTCAATTATGTATCGTCTTTTCTCATGCAATTTTTTTTGCCATCTTTCTGATAGTAGCATGATTCCACGCTTATAAAAAAATTGTTTTGTGCTGGAAAAAAAAGCTTCTGGTAATTTTTTGACTTGATTTGAAATAAAGGTTTTTCTTTTCTGAAACATTTTTTGTAGAGACTGAAATATTGTTGTACATAACCCTTTTTTTGTCTCTTGTGATGATCCATTTCAAAAATAGCTAATTTTTTTTAACGTTTAAGACAAACATCAATGTGACAACATAATTTTATTTATAAGAACATTAAGAACCTTGAGATTAAACTTCGCCGTTTCAAATTATCATGAAAGTTTGCATGCAACACATTTAATCTCATAACGATCTCACGAGTTGTTATATGTGAATTTGCATCAATTAATGTCTTTGTGTCTTAATCATCTTTAAATTGCCATCCAGAATGTGGTTCATCTTTATCGCAATTTTGCAAGCCAGTTTTGCCATTCACATTTTATTAATACATCTTCTCCGTTCACATCAGATAATTTTTCCTTGCTTCAGCAGTTTTTTTACCCTTTTTGATAGAAAAGAGAAAAATATGCAGAAAATGCAGCTTTACACTTTCTACATTTGATAGGGTGCCAGCCAAATATAACTGCATATAATCAAGTGAGCTTTCTCACTAGCAAGCTTTGCTATATCAACTGTTGAAATGTATATGATTATGTGGCTTAAGTGTGAAGATGACTGTGAACAAAATATAATTTAGTCCCCCTTCGGGAAAAAAATTAATTAACTTTAATTTCCTTTAGACGAATTTTTTCCAAGACTTGAGTATATTTAAAATGTCATACTATAATAAAAATAAAATTGTTTCAATTTTTTCTCTTTTCTTTAAATTTAAAAATTTATGAAATTGCTTATAAAAAATTTCTAAACATTTGGGACAATGTTTTTTCTTCTCCTTAGCAGTAGTAAACTACATTTGCTATATATGAAGGAGTACAGTTCAAAATTCCACTGTGTGTATATGTCAGAAAGTTAACAAAAAAATATGTGTTCTGTAAATAACATTTTAATGCTAAAGCTAACTTATCAGGACAAATGTAAATTTTTTGTACAAATATCTCAAAAAGTTGTAAACCAATTTTTTTTATTTAAATTTTTTATTGGCAACTAAAATCTCAAACTGTAATTTAATTCTTTCAATAGCTCAATTTAAAAGTTTCTTTTGTAGAATCCTTAGATTGTGTTTTCCAATTCTATAATTAAAAGTATTTTTTTTAATAAAAGCAAAAACTACTCAGTTACCAGAGTCTAGTCAATAAAAAGTGCATCAAAATTGATTTATAACTTCTGAGATATTTTTGCTTCAAATTAACATCTTTAACAATTTCTCTTATAAGTCTGCTTAATTGTTTCATTTTAAATTGATGATTTTTAGTAAAATGTATAATTTTTAGCTGAAAGAAGTGTATAAAAAAATTTAATTGCTAAGTATGTATTTCCTTTAAAAAATCCTCATTTGTGAATTACCATAGTTAATATAAGTGAATAATTTTAAGGATAGAAACCAAGCAAGACAAATTCATGAAGAGGCTGGCCTCGTTTTCCTTGAATGTTTTGTAGACACTCCTTTGGAAGTTTGTGAGAAAAGAGATGTCAAAGGACTATATAAAAAAGCAAGAGCTGGAGAAATAAAAGGTAAAATTCTTTGAGATTATTCCATAATTAGGAGCATTCTCAATACTAGGGGTTATTTTATTTGTCAAAGACTGAAAAGATGTATTAATCTGTGAAAAAGAAAACTTTTAAAGTTCAAATTTAAATTTGGTAGTTAAAACTAAAATTAATCTTTATTTATCATTCTAGAAAAATCTAAAAATTTTAAAAATAAAACTTGTAAATGTTTGTTAATGTATAATTTTCATAAATATTTTAAAGTTAATAATTATGTGTTGTTATTTATTTTAATCTCATGTGGAGCAAATAAATTTTCAGTCAATTTAATTTCATTGTTTCACAGTTTATGACAGATTCTAGTTAGCTATATCCAATAAAAAAAAAAGTGTTGCATCAAAATTGAATAAAATTAAACCGAGTAAATTGTAAAAGTTTTAAGAGTAGTTAAGATTTTATTCATGCAGAGTACAATTTAATATGTGTACTTTTTATACCAAAAAGAAGTTGATTAGTCTCATTCTATTCAGAATTAAAAACTATACCTTAAAAACGATGTATGTGTCAAAATAGTAGTATGTAAATTTCTCTCCTTTATCACTTGCCTGAAAAAGCTAAAAAGGTAAAGGAATAAAAAAAAGATAGTATCTATTGTCACAGTTGCAATCTGCTATGTTACGTGCTGATTGCTGCTCCCTATACTTATTGCAGAATTTCTCCACCAATGAGTGCAAATATTGGTCAAAGGTATATGTGGGCTAAGATTATGAATGCTTTGTCAATACAAGATAGTACAATACTCTGTTAATACAAATTAATGAATACTCTCCCTTATCATAATCCTCTATGCTTTATATTTTGCATGCTTTTGGATTTTATGGCAATCACTATGGCATTTCTCTTTTAAATATTGCTGTTTTAATGTTTATATAAAAAGAAAATACTAATTATTCTAAGCTTTAATGTTAGCTCGAAGCACAAAAGAAGTTTTAAGGACAAAATGCTCATTGTTTTATCTTGTTGACATTAACTATTTATTTTTTTCCTTACCTCTAATTATGTAAATCAACAAAATATTTGCACCAATTATTATAGTTTGTTTCAGAAAATTATATCTTAAAAAGAATAGTTTTTAAAAAAAATTTGCTCTCTTATTTCTTGAATTAAACAATGATGAAAGCAATTCTAAATTGTGTAAGGTAAAATTATATGTTTTGCAATATTCAAAATTTAAAATAAATCTTTTATATTGTTCTAGAAAAAGAATAATTTTAATAAAATTAAGCTAAAAAATAATAAAATTTTTTAAATTGTTGTGTTAAATATTATGCTATAAAATAACATAAATCTTAATGAGTGCTCAGATTAACGTTTTGCATAATTGTGAATTTATTTTCATACAATATTTGTACAAATGTAGGTAAGAATTTGAGACTAATATTTGTTGAAAAAGTTTGACACTTATATGAATTTTCAGAGACCTAAAAATGTTTTCTTTATAATCAACTTTTAGTAAAATAATCATTTTTGCACAAATTTTTGACTTTATTATCAAAATCGATATGTTTTTTTTCCACCGAATATCTTAAAATTCTTTTCTTTTATGCTGTTGTTTAATTTATGTACCCAGATTAATTATATAGATATTTACTAATATCAATACTAAATATTAATTTTAAAAAATAAAATTTTGCTGTAAATATTTTTGAATATTACCAGTGTGGGGCCCTGGAGAAATCACCTCACTTGCTCCCACGCTTACCATGGCTCAGTGTATAAGATATCTCCGCAAATGACAATAAAGTGACATTAAACTGTATCAGCTAAAGTTAATTTCATTTAACTATGTATTTGATTAAATTTCGTAATACATTAAATACCAATTGTTTTCTTTTTATCAGGATTTACTGGTATTGATTCCTCCTATGAAAAGCCTGATAAACCTGATGTTCACTTAAAAGCTGGAGAGCATACTGTACAAGATTGTGTGCAATTAGTTATTAAGTTATTGATTGATAAAGTAAGGACTCTATTTTGATATTTTCTAAAAATTCTAATTGCAAATTGTACCATTTTTAATTCAGTTGCAGTTTATAGTAAACTCTTAAATAAGTTTTAAAAATGTTTTGCATTATTTAAGTATTGTATTGAGAGAGTAAGATTGCAAGTGCCCTAAAGTATTTTTTTTTTTAAAATTTTATTCTAATTTTACAAATATGTAGTTCTTTGATTACATAGTTACATATTTTTTACATAATTAAAAGAAAAAGTGTTCATATTCAGTTATCCAAATTTGCTCTTTTAATTCAGCTTCATCTATTTCATTTTTGTATTCATCTTGTATTATTATTATTTTCTGTATTTCTTTCGTATTCTAAAAAAAAAAATTTTATAAATAAATTTTGAAATAAAATACCAATTTGATAAAAAACAGACATTTCATCGATTCTCATTTTAAATTAAATTTATCTAGTACTATAGCATGATTAATAAAAATAAACTTCATTTTCAGAAATTTTTTGAAAGTAGATTTTAAAGAAATCTATGTTCCCCCTATAATCCATTGGTTAGCTGCAGCTTTTTATTATTCGTCTCTATAGTGTTTTCCATTTTTATAGAATTGGTGCACTCTTGTGACTTGATCCTTTCTTTCCGAATCTTCAATATCTGGTGAAAACTGTCTACTAGCCCTTAAAGTTGCAACTTTTTAGTTTTGTTACAAAATTAAATTCTTTTCTAAAAAATTTTTTATTTATAAACTGTATGAAAATATTGAAATAAGTTTCTTTTTTTGTCTTAAGTTTTTTAGTTATTTTTGATCCTAAATTGAGCTTTTAAAACATACGTGCTTGCTCACTTAGATTACTGTTGTTTTTTGTGTGTTATTTAATGGGAAACTACATTTAGAATTTGTCGAAGTATCTAAAACATTAGCAAATAACTAAAGAGGGGGTCGTAAACTGTTTTCAAAATTTTATAACTGGAAAATAATGTTAAAAGAAATAATTCTTGTAATGAAATTATGTGACGGGGAAAAAATTTTTCTCATATTATTAGTTTATATTCAAAAATTTTCTGACAGATGGCACTGTACATAGCAAGAAAAAAATTGAAAATTCTGCCACAATTTTTCGAATTCTTTTGATAAATGAAAATAAAATTGCAATATTTACATAATGTTTCTTATACTTTCCACAGCAATAACATGTTTGAATTTAAAGACAAAATTTGCACATGCTGAAAAAAAAACAAATAAAAAAAATTTAAAAAAAAAAGCAGTAGAAGGGAACGTTAGAATGACTGAACTGTTTTAAAATAAAAACCATTACCTATATTTATGCCCTGTCACAACATCAGGGCTGATTGTGCTCCGGAAAAAATCCGGATTTCTGGATTTTTTGCTAACAGCGATCTGAAAGTTTCCGGAGATTGAAGGTCTAGGCGTTTCAAAAAATCATTGATCACAGAAGTTTCCCGAAGTCAAATTTTCAAAGGTGAAACTTAGAAACACAGTTTATTTTATTTGTTTGTAAGGGACAGCCAGATACTTTATAAGCTTATATTCATGATTAATATTAATTTTTTATCAGTAAATAGTTATTATAATCATAAACTCAAGAAAGAAAGACATATTTGTAAATTTCAATTACTTCGCCTGGTCCTCATAGGTATGTGTAATTTTAAATATATTGTAAGTAAACTAAGAAATATTGAGAAAAAGGATAAAAACCTTGTTTAAATTATTTTTCAATTTAAATTTTTTTTAAATTTTATTTATTTATTTTTTTGAACTCGAGAAATTTTCCGGAATTTTGACTTAGGCTCGCGATCACCCTTGCAACATGAACTTGCTACTAAATGTATTGATATTTTTCGAACCTTTGCCGTTTTTTTAATCTATATGTATAAAAAATTTTAGTCTCAAATTTCTTTTTCCTTTTTTGTAGGGCATTATTCCTGAGTCTGTTTTAGACCGTGTAAAGGAGCTTTTTGTTCCAGCATCTCGCTTGGAATGGGCCAAAAAAGAGGCAGAAACTTTGCCCTCCATTGAAATCACACAACTGGATTTGCAGTGGGTGCAAGTACTTTCAGAAGGTTGGGCTACACCTTTAAAAGGTTTCATGAGAGAACGTGAATACTTGCAGTGCCTCCATTTTGGTTGTCTCCTTGATGGTAAGAATAGTTCGATTCAAAAGTTACAAAAGAATTTTGTAGTGTTTTAAATTATTATTTTTTCAGCCATGACTGGTTTCTAGTGATGGTTGTGGTCAATTTTAGTTTTTATTATTACTAAATTACTACCTTTATTAAAAATATTATCTTTCAAAAAATTTATTTTATAGAAAATATCATTAACAGAAAAAATAACTACAAGTAAAAAAAGTATATGTGTTCTAGAAGCTGACTGGAAGAAAAAACATGTATTCTTTTTGATTTATGAAGCATTTAATAACTTTTTTCCACTTTAAAGCTAACCAAACTTTATTTTTCCATATTATTGAATAGACAAAACATTTTAAAACGTCATTTAACAATACTTTCATTTAGTTAATTTCAGATAAGATTTGCAAATTTTTGAGTAAATGTTGTATATATTTTGTTGTATATTTACAGTTGCATTGGTATTTAATATTAAATCTTGTCCCATTCTATTCAACTTTGCCAGCTTATATTTTGTGTATAATTTTTGAGGTTTATTATCTACTTATTATAATAACTTTACAAGTACTTATACAAAATATCTGTCTAAACTAAGATATAATTTTCTAATTTGTTAAAATATCAAATGTTGAAAAAGGTGTTTTACCCAAAATTGATCAAAGAATCAATGATTTGAATGTTTTATTTCAATATAGATGGAGTGATAAACCAATCCGTCCCAATTGTTTTACCTATATCTACTGAGGACAAAGAAAAACTATTAGATGTCTCAGCTTTTGCATTAAGGTATAATGGAAACTGTGTTGCTATTCTGCGAAATCCAGAGTTCTACGAGCACCGAAAAGAAGAACGATGCAGTCGCCAATTTGGTACAAGCAATACTGGACATCCCTATGTTAAAGTAAGTGTATGTTGGATGATTTTAAAGTATTTCTTATGTTTATAGTTTTGGAATATTTATCTTAAATAGATGTCTTCGAAATTTTTTTTAGATGGTATTTGAGAGCGGTGATTGGCTTGCTGGTGGGAGTTTAGAAGTACTAGAGAGAATCAAGCAAAATGATGGTTTGGACATGTATCGCTTAACTCCTAATGAATTAAGAGCTAAATTTAGGAAAATGGGTGTAAGTAATTACTATTGAACTTACTATCTTGCTTACTAATTTACTTTTTTCTTTCTTCCACCTCCCCCCCCCCCAGAATTAAACAGTAACTCAAAAGAAACACCAATGATATTTTTGGATATTAACTAGTTTAAAAAAAAAGGATAGCTAAAATTGAAAAACGCTATCCTTTAATTGAAAATGTTTTTTATCTTTCAAATTTATGGAAGAAACATAAAAAATTATTAAGTAAAGAATTTTATAAAAAAATTTATTATGTATTAATTTTCTTGAATCAAAAGTAAAATTATTTAACAACTCTAACTCAGGGGTCTGTTTAGAAGAAATTTGGGTCCGTTAACGAACCCTTCACAAAATATCTTTTCATGAAAACGGACCCTTCACAAAATAATTTAGGTTTTAATCGGACCCTTTACAAATTTGATTATCTTCATTATTGTTTTGTTAATCAATAAACCCTTCCCAGGAAGGGGGGGGGAAAGACAGATGTAAACGAACTAAATTTTGTCTTCGGCAGACGCTTCTTCCTTTATTTGTCCGAAATTAATATTCTGCGTTCAGCAGTATAGGATCAATACCAAATATTTGTACGTTGCATCGCTAATTTAGTAGCTGCAATTGCTGTTTATTTTTTAAAATTTAATTTTTTTACTTATAATTTTACAGTGTTGAGCATAATCTTGTATGTCCTTACAATTTAAAAACTCCTTGAAAAAGTTTTTTTGCAATAACGGACCCTATTTGTACAAATTCACAAAAGCCAACCCTCATTGAAAGAATGTGACTTAACGTTTATTTTATATTCACAAATTACGAGTAATTTTTCACAATTTTACAAAAACGAACCTTTCACAAAATGTCTGGACAGACCCCTGCTAACTTGAAGCAGCTCAATACTGTGACTTTAGTTTTCATCTTCCACAAATAACCAGGCTATCCCCTTAAAAAAGGCTCAGTAGGTGATGGAACAGTATTTTCCTGGACTATATCTTAGTGGTTTTGAATTCATTCTAATGTAATGTTTAGGGCAGTTTTAGAACTGCAAAAATTCAGACACTGTTGGGGAGCTTGGTTCAGAGACGAGTGTTACTACCACTATCTGCTAATTTGGGCAGTTTACTGTATGTATGTTCCAGTTTTTTCTTAAGATAATCATTGAGAACGAATCTCAGAACTTTGCCAGTCACACCTTAGCCTAGTTCTATCATGACATTGACAACTAACCTGAGGTTGGTAAATCAAAAGCTGTAAAAGCAAATGTGAATGTAAAAGTTAGGGAAGTTATTATAATATTACAGAAAATACTATTCTTAACAATTACAAATTATTCTGTACTTAATCTAATAAAAAAAATCGAGATAATAAATTCCTGATATGTGAAGCAAATATCACAAATTATTATTTTTCATGTTTCTAAAACCCCTGCTTTTACTATTTTTTCTTACTCTTTTTTTACATTAGCTGTTTTATTTTCCGTTTGCCTTTCAAGTCTAAAGCAAGAAAATAAGGAAATCAAACTAACTGCTTTGAAAAAAAAAATAACTAACCATATCTTTAGAATTTTTTTTTTTTTAAATTTAACTTAATTTCTATTTTTGTTATACTGTTACATTAAAGAAACCCCATTAAAGTACAACTATTTGATACAGAATTGTATCAATCCTATAGAATTACCACAAACATGTTTGTCCCAAAGCCTCGCTTTTTTAGTGACCTACATTATTTATAAAAAAGCTCTATATCTTCTAACTTCTTAACTAACTTTAAGTTTGCAAAAAAATAATCATCTAAAAAAATTAACAAAATAAAAAAAATTCTATAACATGCTTGTATAAAAAGGTTTCCTTTTTATTCAGTAGCTTCAATTATCATTTATAATTTCACATTTTAAATAATAACAAATACTTATTTTAGAGAAGATAAAATAAGTTGTATATTTTAGTACAAAATTTATATTAGGAGGTGCTATGTGACTTTTTTTTAATATTTTATACATGTGTTCATTAGTACCTATTAAAGTATCTCAATAATTAATACAAGAAATCAATACTGTGTCACAATATTTTGTATACATATGAATTAAAAAATGCATCCAAAATATTGTTACATTGTATATTTTACAGATGAAGAAAATGTTCTTTCCTGGAATTTTATTTTGGTAACTAATATTATTTCTAAAATGCCATTAATTTTATATTTCTATTTTAATTTATTTCTAAAATGCCATTAATTTTATATTTCTATTTTAATTTAATGGTGCATTTGAGTGTTATTTATTTTTTATCAGTTATCATAGATTATTTTTACCTTACACATAATCTGCAAGAAAAAGCCAAATAAAATTTTACCTTTAACCTTGTTTACTAAAAAAATGTTATAAAAAATTTTAAAAACCAATTTATAGTTTTGTGTTCTGTTCCAATTTCAATGTTGATTTTTATTTTCTATACAGGCAGATGCAGTTTTTGCATTCCAATTACGCAACCCTGTGCATAATGGTCATGCTCTCTTAATGAGGGAAACAAAAAAACAGTTGGTTGAGAGAGGATATAAGAAACCTGTTTTGCTCCTTCATCCTTTGGGTAAGTAATTCCTAAAATTTATCTAGAAATGTTCAAAATAATAATTAACAAATGTATCTAATTAACTAATATGAAAATTAACTAATGTAATAAAACTGGTTGCTTGGTTGTCAATTCACTAAGAATGTATTTTAGTTTTGCTTGTGAAGATTATTTTTTATGTTTATTTATTTATTGCACGGATTTCAAACTTGCCTGTCGCCACACCTTGAGTACCCTGAAATGAGACTGGTGGCTCTTCTTATTAATTCTCTACTTGTATAAAAATATTAGGGTCCTGAAAAAATCAGGATTGTCAGAAGTTGCTGATCTAATGTGAGAATATACTGCTTGAACAATGATAAAGAAATCAGAGTAGCTATTTGAAACTTTTATCTCAATTTGAGTTCATGTAATGAGCATCAAGTTTACTCAGCTGCATCTCAATAAACAAATTCACAATATCTTCGACTGTGGATAGTATTTTCTCTTAATTTATATTTTTCCTTTACTTAGGGGTGAGCCGTGGGTGCTCAGGGGATAGAGTGTTCACCTCCCAATGAGGTGAACCCAATACCTCCCTCCTAATGACCTCTCCCAATGAACCGGGTTCGAATCCCAGCAATGGCTGGTTAATTCAAATTCTGCACCTGGCTCGCACCAACCACAGTGCTGACTTAAAATATCCTCAGTGGTAGATGGATCATGGGTTAGAGTTCCCTTGCCTTGCCGAGTTATTTACGTCCCATTTTGTGTTCTTCTACACTGACCCTCAAATCTTTCGCATTTTAAAAACACATTAAAATTTTATACCTTCTTAGAGCTACTTTATACACATGCATGTGTGAGGATAGGTTCTCAAGCCTTGTGCAGACATCTTGAATATTTGCTGTTCTTCAGTCTGATCGATGTGGTATGTCATTAATTAGTGAAAAAAATAATATGATAACCTTCTGATAGTTAAAGAAAAAGGATAATATATGGGATCGATTTTATCTGATTATCTTAAAATGCTACATTCCACATGAGAAGCATTGTACTACAATAATGTACTGTTGATTCTTTAAATAGGGTATAAAAATCATGTAAAATCTGCATTTTTTGTAATTTTGTAGTGAAACTTCTGTATTTTAAAAAATGGGGGTTGGTAGATAGATCTGCTGCTAATACCTATTATACTATGAATACTTGTCATTGTTATTAATACCTTTTTAATTACTGAAACTGAATTCATGTTAGGTGGTTGGACGAAAGATGATGATGTTCCATTAAAAACCAGAATTGCTCAGCATAAAGCTGTCCTGAATGAGAAAGTGTTAGACCCAGAATCTACAGTTTTAGCTATCTTTCCGTCTCCAATGATGTATGCTGGACCAACAGAAGTATGTTCTTTGATCATTGCTGCATAAATACATTTTTTGTTTATAATTCTAAACATAGTATAAGACTTTGTGTTATTTTATTTTTAAACTCTTAGTCATTTCTTTTTAGAAACTTTTGATAGGAAACTATTTAATCTGAGTGTTTTTGTTTCTTTGTTTTTAAATTTCGTAATGAATTTTTTGAGATTAAAAATGACAATACTTTTTCTGTATAGAATTTGATTTTAACAAAATAATGCATCTGTATGGTTTTAAAAAGATGTAAGTTTTTTTAAAATTAAATACACATTGTTAAACGGTTATGATTTTGTTTGTAGGTTCAATGGCATGCTAAGGCAAGAATGTCAACTGGTGCTAACTTCTATATTGTTGGAAGGGACCCGGCTGGTATGCCTCATCCAGATACAAAGAAGGATTTGTTTGAACCATCTCACGGAGCTAAAGTAAATGAGAAATTTATATTATTTATTTTTAATGCTCATTTATTTCTTCATTTTAACTTACTTATTTTTAAAATTTTAATCGCATAACAATGAATTAAAATTTATTAAAATTAAAATATTAAGCTTGAAATTTTATTAATCTATGTCCCTAAAGTAAATAATTGTTATTATTTCTTCAGAGTTATCATCCATTTTATATGCAAATTTTCTTGAGCCCGAGTCATCTTAGTGATCTTGCTCTAGCTTATTATCTCTTTTGATTTTGTTTCAGATGTATTTCCAACCTCCTTTGATTTTAGTGCATGAATTATGTAGTCCTTTTAACCATGAGTGTACATATTTGGCTCATGCACCGTTAAACTGTTCAGTTAGTTGATCAGTTATTTTTATTTTGTGGTGGGACATTATATTATTCAATATCACAATTGTCACCATCAGGAAAACTAAATTGCCCTTGCCTGTTCAGACAGAACAAATTTCCTTAACACTTGTAAAACTGTCATTTTTTAAAGAATGTAGTTATCAGTTTTCAAACCTGTGTAAAACAAGCAAATCTTGATAGATTTTCTTTATCTTTATTAACAGTTGTGAAAGAGGTGTATGTATACAAGTAATAACCAGTAATAAAAATCTATGAACTTTAAGAATAGTTTTTCAGGAAGTTGAAATTAAGAAGAGGGAGAAGATGTCCTCCTCTTTCTTTGTTCTTTTATTTTAGGGGAAAAAATGCATTACTTTAACTTTTTTTCTTCTTGATTTGATTAACATCGGAATGCTTATTAGTTTTTGATAAATGATAAATGTACAAAAATTCACTGTAAAACTACTGCAAGGACTCACTGTAAAAAAAATTTAAAAATAAATATTTTCCTTTTCAATGCATTTGTAGGTGTTTTTTTTTCTCAAATTAAAGAAAATTTTTCAATATTTCACCCATTACAAACAGTTTTACAAAATAATAGATTTTTTCTCTTTTCGAGTTCATTCTATTTCTCAGAAAGAATTTTGAAAAAATACTTCAATTAAATAAATAAAAAATATTAAATAGGTCTTTTTTAAAAATATTGCTGCTAAGAAATTTTCCAAAAATTAAGTGATATTTGTAGAATAACTTACAAATACGTTCATGAACATTATGTCCATAGCTTATAATTTATTAGTTATACATGTCAACTGAACTTTTATACTTGCCATTTTGTGTATTGTAGGTTTAAAATTAAATGTGAAATTAAGATTGTTATAAATCACTTGATGAACGAATCATTTAAAATGAGGAATATTCGAGTTAAATATAACTAATATTTTAATTTGGCCTTTTACAGAAATGTTGCAGTAAAATTTTTTATTGATCATTATAAAAAAATATGTAGTTTTAACAAACAGGTAACAAATATTTAAAAAATTATAGAAAAGTTATTTCCAATATTTACTACCTAATTTTTTTGCTTGTCCTTTGCTGTATTTAAGGTTTAAAATTAAATATAAAAATGTTAAAACTTTTCTTTATTAAAAAAATTTTATGTAAATTTTCTTAATTTATTAATTAATAATTTTTTAGGTTCTTACAATGGCTCCTGGTTTGACTCAACTGGAAATTATTCCTTTCCGTGTTGCAGCATATGATATTACTAAGAAACAAATGGCACTGTTTGATCCCAGTCGTAAACAGGACTTTGAATTTATATCAGGCACCAAAATGCGCCACTTGGCTCGAAATAATCTTCAACCTCCTGATGGCTTCATGGCCCCTACAGCCTGGCAGGTCCTTTCTGACTACTACCGTTCTTTATCAGACAAACAATAAGCATTCTTTAATAAGTTTAACGGTACATTATATGCCTTAAGAACATATTAAAATAATTTGTAAGAGAGAAATTCATAACATGAAGCGTTGTATCAAGTATATCTTTATATACCTGGTTAAATATGCACATAGTTGTTGACAAATGTTTTAATGCACATTTATTATTATTATTTTGTTGATCATTGTTTTGATTTTAATTCCACTTGATTTCAACTGTAATTGAATCTATGCTTTTGTTGATGTATATCAGAAATATATCTTAGATATTTTTATCTTTGCTGGAACGAAGGTAATAGATTGATAATTAATTATAAAGTCTCCCTAATTTTCCTGTGTTTAAAGCCCCATAAGAGTGGTGATTTATTTTTGACATAAAAGTGTTAAAGATGTATCTCACTTTATATAAAACATTATTTTATTGAATTATTTGCATCCTTATAACCTTATTTGAATTTTTAAAAAATCAAAAAAAGAATAAAATAGTCCTATTAAATTGTTTGCTTGAATATATTTTCTGCAATTACATTTTAAAATTCTTATTCAATAAAAAAAAATTGTTTAAGCTGCGTTTCTTTAACAAAAGTTTTACATTAAATATAAGCTTAAGTCCTGATTTATCTCTTTTTTTTTTTCCTAAGAAAATCTTGTAAAACCTGTTAAGATTTATAGTAAGTAAAAATATTTCATAATAAACAAATTTTTGTATTTCCTTTTCTTATAAATCATTGATATTTGTACATTTTTTATAGTTAAAAACAAATTTTAGAACAATTTAGATATTTTATTTTTTAAAAAAAATCATCACAAATATATTTATCTTTTCATATATTTATAACAAATTTTAATACTGAAATGTCAATTTACATGTAAGTAAAAAAAATATTGAATTTTTTCATTACCTTTTTATATCAGTTTTTAAAAAAGTAAGAATGATTTTTTTTAGATGTAGTAAAATCAGATTACTCAGCAAGTAATCTCTTTGTATGTATTTTTTTATTTTTGAATTGTTTAGTTGTTTCATAATTCATGTTGTAATCATTGTTATTTTCTATTTAATTATTTGAGCTTTGAACGAAAATTTTTATTTTTATTTCATTTTTAATTTGTATTACCCAAGAAAATTTTCTTGTTATTATATGAAATGTATTTGCTTTTCAAAGTGTCACATTTTTGTTGTTGATGCAATAAATACCTATGTATATATAGCTTAAAGCATACTTAAAAATGCTCACAGTTGTTAAGAAAAATTAAAAATTTGAGTAGAAGTATTATTTTTTAATTTAAGCAAAGTATTCATATAAAAAAAAACATGTATATTAACTACTTTATTTTTATTACATTTCTTTCAGTTAGGCAAAAGATATTATTAAGCTGTTATGAAATTTCCGTTGTTAATATTAACAGTAAATGAAATGAGCAATAAATACTAGAGGTATTTGAAAGCTTCAGTGAATAAATAAATAAAACTAGACAGTTACAAACAAAATACCTTTACTGGGATTTGAAGCAATAGCCATTCTCAGAAAATACATTTTTTTCCCATCTCTATAGTATTTAAACTGTGTAATTACAAACATTTTGCTCATTGCTTCTGCCCCGTGTATTTTTACTAACTCATCGTGTGTCTCTCTCTCTCACCATTTTGCCTGAATTGTAGCCAATTTAATATTCATCTATTGCTCTATTTTTCAGTAACAAGTCTTTGCATATTGCATTAAATTGGCTGTTGTCTACTCTTTTGCTTCATGTTGTGATTTGGAGGCTAGGGGTCCTAGTAACCACATCTTGCTTCATCAGAGTGATTGTTAAAATATAGGCAGTGATTGGAACTTTTGTAGTCAGTACTTTTTTGTAGTTAATTGTGTAATGCATTACTTTTTTTTAAAAAAAAGTCATGCGGGGCCTAGTGCGATACAAAAAAACTAGTTGTAGCGATTCCCTGGAAATACTTTTAACAATACTTAGTTTATAAAAGGAGCAAGGTACAAACGTCGCTAATTTTTTAATAATTGATTGTAGCAAATCTTACCTGAGGCCATCAGTGAAAATATGCCTGATGTACTTTTCTTGTTTTCTTTTTTTCTTAGGTTTAAAACACATAACAAAATGGATAATTTTTCTATCATTTCTTCCGATAAATATTTGCTGTTAAGACGTAAGACATAAAAAGTTCAAGCTTTAAAGAATGAATTCATAAGACATAAATTGCTCTTTTATTTTTCTAATTCATTTTTAAAAGTTTTTTTTTTTTCAATATTCAACTTTTCTTTTAACTTTGAACATGAGTGTAAATCAAATTTTCCAGCAAAGTTTGTTTCCTAAAAGTAGTTAAGCAGTGACTATATTTCAAGAGAGAAGTCTCAAATAACTACACTGAAAAAATTTTTATAGTTAACTACATTTTATTATAACAATAATAAATTGCTCTTTTATTATTTATAATTCATTTTTTCCAAATTTTTTCTTTCAGTATTCAACTTTTTAACTTTGAACTTAACTGTAAATCGAATCTTCCAGCAAAGTTTGTGTTCTAAAAGTAGTTAAGTAGTGACTATATTTAGTGTAGTTATTGAGTCAGAAGTCTCAAATAACTGCACTAAAAAATAATTACAGCTAACTCCATTTGTAATGAAGTAGTTGCAGCTAACTACAAAAAATTTTAAGTTTTTCTGACCACTTACAATGGCTCTATTAAATAACAAATCTTCTTAAACAGTATCTGTAAGAGTGAAACACCATAGCTAAAGCGGTTATTCAACCATGAAACTGTTTAGTAACAATCATCCTCACACTACGTTAAATTGATCAAAGTCTGAACTTTTACTCAACTGTCATGATTTGGATGCTAGAAGCCCTACTTGTCACATCTTGAAATACACTTGCAAGAGTGCAACACCTTAACCAGTGTGGCTATTCTATGAACTATTCACTGAACTTTTCAAATGCACCTTGTATTGTGATCTTGTTTGTAAGCAAGGTGATATTTCTAAGAATTATTTGATATTTCTAAAAAATATCAAACTATCAGGTATAGTTCAAAATAATACACAATATTTTAGCATACATTTTGAAACAAAAAATAAAATGTAATTCAAATTGAAGTCAAAAATATTTGTTTTTTAATCAATTCAACTGTTGGCATAATTTGTTTATGATGTAGATTTGTTAGTTAGAAACCATGACATTCAAGAAATAACTCATTCTAACCTCTATATTTCAATTACTTTTTTATATAGTTTCTATTAGCATTCCCCAAACCAATTTTTTTCATATTTTTAGAATTTTTTCCCAATACGAAAAAAAATTTTGCTATTAATATTTTAAATTATCAATGGTTGTATGCTTTTTTCTGAATTCTCATATTTTTCTCACTAACTAAAAATAATTAACATAGGTTCAAGCAAAAAAGGAGAAGAAATTTTTAAATTTTAATTGAGCAACTTAGTCTTGCTAATGAAATGACTTTTTTTACATTTATTTTTTAAAGATGCATTTTTTTTAAAAATAAATAAATTTTTTAAACAGTTTGGTAATACAGCTTTTTTGTGAAGTGTAATTTTTATAATTTTGTAAATAATTGGAAATGAAAATGTACATATAAATACGTTTCATAATCAAAAATATTTAGAATGTTGCTTATTGAGTAAGCAGCAAGTAATATTACACATAAATTTTATTAATATATATAATATATAAATTATAGAGTTGTTTTACCTTTATTGAAATGCTCATTTCTGAGACATTTTATTTATATCTATGTATAATTAGTATCTAAGTTATATTGTTAAAATTTCTTGTTTTTGTTAGTGCAATAATAATTTAAAATCTTAAATCATTTTTATTAAAATGGTATTAGATAAAAAAAATTTATTTTAACATAATAATAAAATTTTAAAAAGACTTGTCATATCACTATTTACTGTAATCTTGAAACAAATGTGTTAATAAATTTTTAATGCTTAATAATGTTATTAATACTATATTACAACCCTTGGAAATGTATTCTTAAATGTTTAATTAAAGGGGATAGTTCAAGTTTATGATTTAAATCTGTGATAAAAGCATGCATTGCAGTTGTAGTAAAATAATTACTGATTGAAAGAACAATAAATATATTTTATCATGTAATTAAACTTGCTTTTGTGATAAACATTTTAAAAGTTCATTATCTTTTTACAGTACACAAAAATTATAATTCAGGTTCAAAATAGTTTGTAATTTATCATTTTAGGAGTTTACCTGAATCCACATTTCACATATAAAAAGTATAAAATTTTCATTCGAATGGAATAACAATTTTACAGTTATAAAAATTAATTGCACCAAATTATTACTTATTACTCATTATTAGTTTGTTTATTAATTATACTTTTACAGTTGAATTCTGAAAGATGATCATATTATTACAAATAAAATTACAAGTTTGAAAAACTATTCTAAATATCTTGTAATAATTAAATGCTTGTGAAATAAAAATTGTAATATCAATGAGAAAAACTTAAACATCGAAATTTAACATTGTATACTTTTTTAAACTATCGAGACTTATAACATTACAAGAGTAAATAAGTTATTGGTCCCGTAGTAAGCTATTTTGAAGCTTTGCAATGAATTAATTAACATATTTTAGATGTATATTTAATGATATTTTCTCAAAATGCACTTTGGAGAAAGGTTTCTTTAAATCCAAGTCTATTCTGTCCAATTTTAGACAAATAAGTTGTAATCACGTTTTTTAGAATATTCAATATTTTTAACTACTTAATAAATTTTTATAAAATTTTGAAAAGAATAATTGTCTTTATGAAATTTTATAAATCGAAATGCCATAATGCTACTTTTCATTGCATAATATTCTAGCTCCTAGAAATTGTGAACTTTTATAAACATCTACTATTTATAAAAAAACAGGTTTTAAAGATTTATTAATGAATTATTGATAAGCAGTTTCATAACGTAAAATGCTGTTATGTTACTTTTAATTGCATAATATGCTAGTTCCGAGAAATTATAAACTTTTTTAAAACTCTTCTTATAACAAAACTAACTTAGTTAAAAAAACAAACAAGTTTTCAGAGATTGATGTATGGATTATTTAAAAGCAACTATTTTAGAAATCACTGTTTTTAATATCTATGAAGAAGAAAAAATTAAATATAATCATTTATAAATTTTGCTAGCTATGATCATAAAAGAAGTGAAAGTAAAAAGGAAATGTAAGCAAAAACTAATAAAACAAAGTTGCTGTATGAGATCTTCAAAGTTAAAAGTTGATCAATACATAAATTATATTTTTGATAACAATACTCAAATTTAAAGCCTGTTGATACTAGTTCAGACCTATATAACTTAAGACAACTTGGTTAATTATGACTTTAAAATTTTACACCATAACAAGTATTAATTTATAACAAAATTCTTTAGCATTCGACCTACTTTTATGTATTCATATTAACTAGTTTAATTGCAATACTAGTCATTTTTGATAACCAGCTGCTTTTCTTTTCTAATGTAAAGTTTGGCTTTACTAATTTTTTTTATAACTTTTTAAGTTAAGTTATTATATTTAACTAGTCAGCTTCTACCACTGTTCGTTGAAGCTCCCGAACACTCAAAGATTGCTATGCAATCTAACAAAGTTTGCTTTGCAAACCCTGCTCGGTCCATTTTCGACTTAATTAAACTCGTTTGAAATGTGTTCTAGCCTAGAATTTGAAGAATTGTTAATGGGGTCGGGGTTTCGACATATGAAAATCCCACAAAATTCTGTGGCGGGAGCAATAAATACCGATATTTAAACAAAGGTGGTATTGTTTTTTATGCATCTTTTTACGCCTTATCAAAATAATCTAAACTCGAAATGATAGGAGAAATAAAAGTTATAAAGGTTTCTGAAGAAATAGAAGTTATAAAGGTTTGACTTGTACATATTTACACATTTCGTATTGCTATTTAGACAAGTAAAATACTGTTTCTAATGTTTTTTTTTTTCCAAACTGAATTGAATGAGACTATAAGCAAGTCAATGGAACAAATAATTCAAAAGTTACAAGCGTATTTATGTCTAAAAAGTATTCATATTAAGTTTTCTCATGTATGCACTTTACATTGTTAACCAGGAGATATTTGAACATTTAAGGAATATTTTACGTGATTTTTCACTGAGAATTGAATGAGATCAATCCGACTAATAGTTTAGAATTTGTAAGCGAGTAGTTTTTGGTATTAATAGTTTTTAGCAGTTTAATATTTGTTTGTTTAGAATTTGTCTCTCTTCGCATGCCTGTGTTAAGGCAGAGGGGTGCAATCTATAGCCCAGAATTCGACTTCTGCCACACCATACGTCACACCCGTTTACAGGGCGGACCCATTTATACATCCACAGATCGTAATTTTAACCTGTATCAGGGAGCGATAAATTTTCAATTCAGTACCCCCAGAGATATTGATTTCTTATGGGAACATGGAGGACTTTGCAACTCGACAGATTTAACATACATCAGTTACCATTTTACTAAATGGGGAATCTTCAGCCAGCGGGGTTCGAACCCACGAACATGGGCCCAGGGACCCTACCGACCAGGCTATCCCAGCCACAGAGTTTTATGTACAATTTTGTATTTGTACTTATTTACGCATCTTACAGTTCTTTGCAGACAAGTGTAATACAGACTAGGTCATTTCTGTATCAGTGCAATCAAATTAGGCAAAAATTTGACTAAACTCAGACAGACCTAACAAGTCGGGACCCATTGTGATTTGCTCAAGGGGTCATATATCATGTTTTCCACAAGCATTATCATTAACAAATTTTTGATTCCATGGTTATTTAACAATGTGAAAAGATCAATATCTTCCATACGAACGGATGAACCTCAATCTGCTATCCTACTTGCTTCCCATACAATTAAAGTATTTTTACCATAAACTGCTATTTTAAAATTGAATCCTGTGGCTACAAAATAAATTTTAAATTGATTAATTAATAAAGTTTAGTATTTTTATTCAGCAGAAAATCGTTTAAAGAAGTCCTTATCGATATTATATTATTTAACCTGTTTGCATAGTAATGAAAGTGGTGCAACTAAAACGAAAGCACAAAATTGTACTTTTTCTACATAAAAACCTTATAACTTCTAAACTATTCATCTATCATTTAGAATAATTCAATTCAGAGTTAAAAAATACATTGAAAATAATACCTCATTTATAAAAATTTCAGCATTAAAGTTTCTTTCTCTTCCTGCCAAAACCCATAGCAAGATTTTGTGGGATTTTCAAGTGTAGTCACCAGACACCCCCATAAACAAATTCCGATAGGTTCTGGCTTGTTATTTCAAACAATAATTTGACTGTATTGAAGCTAACTAGTTAGTGCAGACATACAAACATACTTTCGCTGAATAAGAAAAACCTTTTTTTTTTATCCGACAGATTATGAAATTTTAATATCTGACTTTTCAATGATTATTCCACCGAGTTCTCAAGGATTATATTCTACAGATTTTATTTAAATTTTGCCGTATCTTCTTTAAAATGATGTAAAATACACCTTGCAATTTAAAAATTTTTTTTACGTGCAATAATCTTAGGATAAATGAATTTTATATTTGTGTGCTACTTTTTTTCAAAATTCCCTTAAAAAGTTCTCGAGACGTGGTAAAATACAAAAAAAGTTAAATCAGCCATATGGGGTTCAAACTTTTTAATGCTCTCCTGACCAAACTATTAGGACGATATTGTAGCTACCCCCTATATTTTGGTCATCAGAAATCATAATCTGTCCAAAAAAAACATGCAATATTTCCGAGGAAGTTTTTGTGTCTGATTTCGTAACTTAAAATATATATTTGGAGGTCACCCCTCGAACCATTAAGATCAAGTACTAGTACTTGAAAATCCGGTCATCAGATCAAAAGTAATTCACTGTGTTTGGTGATTTTTTTTTTTTAATAGCTCTGTACACTCTAATACAGTCAAACCCCACTATAGTGAACCTTCAAGGGACCGACATTTTGGTTCACTATAACCGGGAGTTCACTATATCCGTTACGCAGGCAATTTAACTAATGGTTTCTTAACTTCTCCCTTTTATTACACGTATCCAAATAAATGACTGAAAAGTATTATCTAGTAGCAAAACATGTGTTATTTTTTTATTACTATTCGTCTTGCATACAAAATTTTTTTTTTAATCTCTAGCTGATGAGCAATCCTCAACATCAGATATGGAAACACTTCCCGACTCTCAGATAATTTTTCCTGAATTTCTGTTATTCCGCTTTTTAAACCTGTCAAACCTGCCATTCGAGCACATAAAAGTAGTCTCATAAAATCGTTTAGCAAATTCGTCGACATTTATCCAGATACTGGAAGATTGTGACTTCTTCTAATGCAGGACCACTTCAGTAATGCTTCTTCAACATCCTTGTAATCTGCTTTTCTCAACTTTTTTCTGGCAACTAATTTTTTTTCCTGAGCAGAAATTATTAACTGCCTGTTTTTCCATATGTTACAAACTGCAAATTTGGATAGTTTATATTCTCTGCAAATATCAGCTGGATTGCATCATTTTAAATTTTTCTGATAATGCCCATTTTAACATCAATGAAAATTCTTTTACGCTTACTGCTCGCCATAGTTAAATTTGAGAAACTTGTTTGCAGGCTTTTTTAAACTGAACTGAGAGCAAAAAGGAGTTGAAATGAGGGCCTTATCAACAGATTAGTGTCCAGCCCTTTGACCAATAATGACTCATTCCCTCTGACAGAAAATGCATATTGATCCCACTGACACCTTACAGGTGCATCATTTGCCTGGGTTGGAAAGTGAGATAAAAGAGGCAAAGAAGAAAAAATGCTTATCGCTACATTCCCCTCTATAGATGGTTTTGAAAATCGGTATGAGTATTTATTTTGAAGTAGAAATTTCAAAATTATTAGCAAAAAAATGAAGAAAAAAATCAGTCGAAGACAGAAAAAAGTTCATTATATCCAACTTCCTCACTTTTTTGGTTCACTATATCCGGGAGTTCACTATAAACCGTGTTCACTATAGCGGGGTTTGACTGTATTTCAAAAATAAACTTATAACAACTATAGACATAAAGTTTTATTAAACAAAATTGAAAAAATAAAAAATGTATGATAAAAAAAGGCACAATTTATTGTTTGGCATGGCTTTGCTAAAATTTACACAAGAATGACCCAAAACAACCAAATTAAAAAGAAATCATACAATTGCATACAGCATTTTTAACATTTACTTCTCTTTTTCTGCAAATTATAAACTTGATGTATAAGAAAATAACATATTTCTATTATATACGTTTATTGGAAATATAAAATACAAGTTTAATTTAAATTATATCAAAAAATGTTTTTATTTTTATGTCTTATACAATACAAAGTTAAATTTTACATTTTATAGGTGGCTTATAATTAATACTTTTCAAAAATTATTCCAAAAAAACTAAAAGAGAAATTTATTTTTCATTCATTCTTGATTAAATTCTTCAATTTTTTTGTTGTTTAGTTATTGAAATACACATTTATTGTGCACCCTGTAACAACAATTCACAGAAAAGGAAGGCAATAAATTTTTGGGAATGCAAAAAGAGATTGCCAACAGTATCAAACGTCAAGCAAAGTACATTATTTGCTAAGAGAACTATTACATGAAATAACCACATTACATAAATACGAAAAATATAATTTATTGCTTTATCTTAAAAATTTCTAAATTAATCATAATAAAATGTTTTACTAAACGATTAAGAAAGAAACAAGAAACTACTAGAATATATTTTTAAAAATATAACTAGCATAATAAAAAAAAATTCAAACAAAAACTATTCAAAAATAAATATTAAAGCTAAGAATATAAATATGGCTTAGAAAGTAAAACGTTATTTGATTTTACATAAAAAAAGAATAAAATAGTTTTATTATACAACATTCAAAAATAAACAACAGCAATTATACAGAATGGGGTACAAATTAAATCATTTTCTGTTAAATTTTTTATATTATAAAAATGGCAGTCCTGTTTCATAGTTGCGGTTATCATCAATTACAACCTTCAGTTTTTTGCAAACAATATGCGAAATGCTATCATCAACATCACAATCTTTATTTTCTGGTCTAGGTCTCTTAAATACTATTTCTAATTTTGGTTCTTTAAAATCATACAAATCCTGAAGAGAATACGCCAATACAAGATTAATCAAATCCAATTTTGATAAATACTTCGCCAAATGTTCAATACAATGCAAGTTTAAAAAAATAATTTTTTCCTTTGGCCCATTTTCAGACATGACATAAATTGGTTGATAGTAGAGTTTGTTTAGCAATTCACCAAGTTTAATCGCAGCATAAATGACGTCGTTACAAAACGGGTAAGCATCATTATAGAATCGCACCAGTACCATATCGGGAATCCCTTCGCAAGTATTTTCAAGATTTACATCTTTTTTATTATACCTCTTAAATATATAATCAAAGAAAGTACAATCCGAGCTGACCTTATCATCCATCATGCAAGCAATGTCCTTAAGACACAAGCCTCGATATCGAGCCCAATGCATACGGTCGAACTTATTTGTGAAAAAATTAAGATTGAGTACTTTATCTGGTTGAATAATTTCGTTATTTGCACCAATTTTTAAATTTTGAAGAACAGAATACTGTATAAGCAACTTAGATATATTTTTATTTTTGCAATAGCCTAAAGGTGGCATTTTTTTCAGATCTCGATGATCCGGAACAGCTCCCAGCTCTAAAAACATCTGAATTATTTCTTTTTTCACTTGTGGATTTCGCACGGCATAATGCAAAATAGAATTATGACCAATATCTATTGCGTTCACATCAGCTCCATGAGACAACAATGCAAGGATTAATGGAACATTTAAATGAGGAGCTTGTCTCATTAATGCACAATGTAATGGAGTCCGCCCATAGCAATTCCTCGCATCGATCAACGCACCTCTATCTAAAAGAACTTTGTATAAATCATGTCGAAAATTGGCTGCAATATGTAGTGGAGTTTCTTTGAATAAATCCTCAGCGTTTAAATCAGCCCCACGATTTATAAGTTCTAAAACAACAGCTTCGTAGCTCTCAAACATCATAGCCATATGTAAAGCTGTTTTCTTAAGTTTATCACAGCGATTTATTAGAGCAGGTTCATTTTCCAGCACCAACTTCACCACGCCGAGATTACAATAAGCGTTCATAACAGCTTCATGTAAAACAGTTCTTCCGTCTTCGTTTACAACATTTATGTCAGCGCCTCTCGATAAAAGTTTTCGTATTTCGTCTAAGTTGCCGGTGTTCCTTCGGATAGCAAATAGAAGTGGAGTATCTTCATTATGGAATGGAAATAAGCGTTCACTAAATCGTAGAAGTTCATTAAAGCGATCAATTATGGCTTTAGCCATATCTATGTAGCTAAGGTTGTATATCGATTCTATATCCATGATTGGGAAAAGGTCCATTAAAAAATATGAACTTGTATATCAAGCTAACAAAAAGGAGATAGCATAATTTACTTTATTAGCATTTTACCTTACTAGAATTATGTCACAAATTTGATTGAAAACATTTCATTTTCGATATCCTGAATCAAAACAACACTACTTTTTCATTTATTTCTTAATAACAACAATTTCCATAGACTATTTCTGTTCGACTGAAATTCTAAATATTCTCATGCAATGCTCTTTTACGCTCGAGCTTAACAGAAATAGGCAGCTAAAGGGTATTTGTAACAATAACGAACAGTCAACAAAACTTATGAATGTTTATAATGCGTTAAAGCTTAGCATTTTTATTTCAATTAAAAAACAGTTCAGCATCCAAAAATTTTCAAGTAATAGATCAAATTAAAGTAAATATTTTTCTAGTTTTTTTTTGTATTGTTATATCTTTTAAAATGACTGAAGAATCTACTGAACCTGTTGCAGATACAGATACGCAAGAGTTCAAGCTCGATGAGCAAACAGAGCTCCGCTTTGAAGTTGAGCCCAAATGTACTATTACCCTAGAATTAAAAAATGGTACAGCTGAAATTTTCGGTACTGAGCTCGTTAAAAATAGGAAATTCGCTTTTTCTTCTTGCGAAAAAGTAGCAGTATTTTCTTGGCATGGATGTACGCTGGAACTAACCGGAAAACCTGAAGTTGCATATGTTGCTCAAGAAACGCCCTCTGTATTTTACATAAACATTCATGGAGCTTTGGAACAAATGCGAGTCAAAGCTGAGAAGGACGATTCTAAAGGACCCGTTGTGTTGGTAGCTGGGCCATCTGACGTTGGCAAAACTACGCTCTGCCGTATTTTATTAAACTATGCAGTTCGATTGAACCGAAGACCAGTATTTGTTGACTTGGATGTTGAACTATCGTCTATATCAATACCTGGAACTGTTGCTGCCCTTCCTGTTGAAAGAGTTGCTGATGTCGAAGAAGGATTTTCTTTAACTGCCCCTATAGTATATCACTATGGGCATACTAATCCTAGCACTAATATTATGCTATATAATACTTTAGTATCACAGTTATCTGCTGTGGTATCAACTAGAGCCTCTCATAATAGTAGAGCAAATGTAAGTGGAACTATAATTAACACGGGTGGCTGGATTAAAGCAGAAGGTTATCAAGCTCTGAAACACGCTGCTAAGGCTTTCGAAGTCGATGTGATATTGGTTATTGATCAAGAGCGATTGTATAATGAACTAGTCCGTGATATGCCTAAGTTTATTCAAATTGTGTTCGTGCCCAAGTCTGGCGGCGTTGTCGAACGTAGTGTGCAAGCTCGTGCCGAGGCACAAGATAGTCGTATTAGGCAATATTTTTATGGATTGAGGACTCACTTGTATCCACATTCTTTCGATGTCAAGTTCTCGGAGATGAAAGTGTTTAAGATTGGTGCACCATCGTTGCCTGACTCTTGCATGCCGATGGGAATGAAGGCGGAAGATAATAGAACCAAACTAGTTCCGGTACAAACTGGTCTAAACCTGTTGCATCATATTTTGAGTATCAGCTTTGCTGATAATGCTGGTGATGATGTCGTGACTACTAATGTTGCCGGTTTTATTTGTGTTACTAATGTTGATGTTGAACGTCAAGTTGTTACTGTTTTATCGCCGCACCCAAGACCTTTGCCTAAAAATATTTTTTTAATAGGTGATATTCAGTTTATGGATGCTCGTTGAAAATGTTTCTGTTAACTGTCTGATTGTTACAGTTTTATCACCGAGACTCAAGACAGCTGCTTAAAATTTTTTTTTAATGTGTGACATTCAGTTATTGATGCCCATTATTGTTGTGTTTCTATTTTTTGTAACAAATTTTTTAAAGTAATAAATTTTTAAAAAGCAGACAACTTTTATTTTTTATTATGAGAATCAAATTGTGTTAATTATGATAATTTTTATTTAAAATTTACATAAAGAATAAAAATTATTAATTATAATAATATTTTATTATTCTAAGTAAATAGTACTTAAGTGTTATATAGACTACCAATAAGATTGGCAAATTTAAGTTCAAACTTTAGTTAAAACAACATTACAGTGCTATTTTGTTATGTTATATCTTTTTAGGGGGCCTAAAAAATGCCAAACTATTATTGACACTAGTGATGTTTAATTCTGGTAAGAAATTTCTAATATATGGAATAATTATGATATAAAATCTTAATTTAATATAATCTTACGATAAAATGATAATATAATTTAATCATTTTATCGCAAGTTGTTCATTAATTATTTTCTCTATTAGTAATGAGTTTAAATAAATTGTTGCATTTTTGTTACTTTAATTAGGGTGACCCGGGGTAATTCACGATCACTCTGTTTCTGGGGTAAATAATGATCACCTAGTGTGGGCCTACTGTTGAGAT